TATGAGGCTTTGCATGACATGAGGTAATCTTGTAGGATTTGAGCTGCATCAACCTCTGTTTTTTCCTGTGGGAACTGAACTTGTGTGACACCCACATGACGATTTTGCTTCTGGGAGATTTGTATCAGTGATTTCAAACAGCAGCATCTGAAAGTTTGAGTATGAAATTGGTGTGGACAAATAGACCTCTCTGAGCCAGCTCGGCCCAAGTGCCTGTTTGCTATGATGCTGAGTTGAGTGGTTGTGTGTTGGGAGCAAATAAAGAAGCAGACTACTTAAAAAAAAAAAAAAAAAAAAAAAAAAATAAAAAGTATATAGAAAAAATTGAGATGTATCGTTCCTATAGTAATGTCCTCTTTTGTGTGTGTTTCTGCAGAGTGACTTAAAAAAGCAAGTCTTACTGTGTCCCAAGAGTAAAAGGCGAAGAAACTGTTTCACAGCTGAGGCTGTTGGGGGAGCAGCAGCTGCAGCTTGCTGCCAAATGAGCAGTGGGTGCAGTGCACATAGGAGAGGTGTATGTTTCTTCACATCTCTGATGCTGTACAACAGCAGCACAGGTTCTCCTGCTCTCTCTGTAGTTCAATGTTCATCCATAATTCCGTGGCCTTTGCTTCTTTTTAGTACTGGTCAAGAGCCTTTCAAGACTAAAATCTACAGGTGACACAAACAATGGTACAAACAGTTGTGGATTCTGCTGGTGATGAGAATTCTGAGCTGTCTTGCTTTTCCTCTCATATATAAACTCCTTGTTCTCTCCAGTTTTAAAATGAGTATATGTGCAGAATTGCTACCAGAGTAATTTTGTTAAAAGGAAATGGAATTAACTTTTTTGGTTACAGGTCAGCATCATGAGTATTTTTGAAACCACTCTGAGAGTGGCATCAGGAAGGGTCACAAAGTACAGAAAGTTACTTGCAGCCATCAAAAATAAATATATTAAAAACTAATAAAACAAGAAGTACTGCACCTGGTGAGTTCCAGAGGGTGCTTTGCAGCTGTGTAGGCCTCTGGTTTTGTGACCCAATCCTGAGGGAACTGGATGCTGCTGCTCTTTGTCATGTTTCTTCTCCTATCCCATGTGTGTGAGCTGGGCAGGGAGAAGGGTTTTTTCAGTGGGATTCCCTCTTCCTATTATTTATGCTTTCATAATGCAGTTTATTTTCAAATATACTCTTTTGTAATCAAACTTGAAAATAAAAATGGGAGTTGCTTAACATAACAATAATTTGAATAATTTGTACTGTGTTTAATAGTAAGTAATCTCTGGCAACTTGGAAAATAATATGAGCTGAGAAGTGAGTGAGCAAATATTGACTCAAACCAACTAACCAGGAAGCAGAATAAAGTAGTTACAGAAGTGTTTTTTTTTTTCAGTTTCTCAATCGGATCTTTGGCACTGATCATTGTGTATAATATCTGAATCATCTTCCTGTGTTGTCAGTTAAGCAGAGCAGCAGCTACTGTTACTTGTTCACCCAGATGCTGCATTTCATTTTTGCAAAGAACAGACTGCGTGGTTTTGTTTCAGTTTAACTCGTAAGTGACCGACAAATATAAAATGTACTGCATGTATGGCTAGGTAAGTAACATCTTTCCAAAACTGCTTGACTGTAACAGACTATGGAAATGAAAAATAAGATAATGGCAGTTTTTAACTGCATGAATCATTCTTTGCTATACCTTATAGCTGATAACACACTACAGGCACAAAGCACAGTGTACATGATTGATTAAAATGACAAATGTGTTCATGTAAACAAAAAATAAACCTACTGTGTGTTTCTGTTCACATGAAATGAAGACAGGTTCTTCAAGGTAGGAACTGACAGTACACAACACACAGTATCAACAGCCTTCTTGAAGGCTGTGCTTTATAGCAATTCCCAGGATGATTTATGTGAACTTGCTCCACTCTCTGGTTCATAGGAAGCATTCTCTGAGTAGAATGTGTTACAGAAGACAATGGAAACTGCTTTGGATTTAATAGTAAAGAACTGTAAAGAATATAACAGATGGTACAATGCACTATTGTGTGATTTTTATATTCATGGTGGTGTTTTCATTAATTCCAAATGTTTGTCAGGTAAAACATTTGTGAGATGACTCTGACTGCAGTGCTGTCAGAACCTGTGACCTCCTGTAGACAACTCTGATGCCCCTCACTTCGTCTTTGCTTCATCTAGAAACTTGTGTGTACTTCCTTATCTCCTGTGATTCAGTGACTCCCCTCCCTTCCCTCCTTCACCCCATCCTGATCTTCTCCTTTCATCTTACAGCTTAAATTGTAGGGCTAACATTCCCATGCCTCTAAGATCCCCTCGAATGTGATGAGTTTGGGGCTTGAAATGTTGGCACTGATCTGATAGACATGTTTGTGTTGGAATATTGGCTGCTGGATATCATCCCATGAAACACTCTCCTCAGATGGAGATAAAATTGTTTGCTACTCTTGCTGAGCCTAATTCTTATTGCTGTTATGAATGGTTTAAAAAAAAAAAAAAAAAAAAAAAAAAAAGCAAGCACACAACATTTTTGATGGTACTTGGTTTTTGTCGCTGCAGTGACTGGGGTCTCAGCACCGAGAGATGGAGCAATGATGGTGCTACAGTCAGATCGGATGGGGTGTGTGTGTGTCCACAGAGGAATGCTGTGCGCACAGCACAGCAGTATCTGAGATTGTACTCACACTGGAATATTGTACTGAGGTTGGAAGGAGAAAGCATAATCAATAGTTTCTGTGCTGATGACTTTTAGGATTTGAGTAAGAAATGTGCATGCTGAAACAGCCTGCAAGAGAGGAAGATTATCTGGAATTTCATAGAATCATAAAATGGTTTGGGTTAGAAGGGACCTTTAAGTTTGTCCAACCCAATATATGTGAAAGCTCCACAGATGAAGCACCCAGCATGCAAATAGAAGAAGGGTTGAGATAATACTTGTGCATTCCTGAGCTGGGGGATAGAATGCACCTTTATCTTTTTTTTTTTTTTAGGCCAGCACGGCTGAATCTGAATTTTACGTAACACACTGCTAAGTGTAATAGCTTCTGACAAATGGTTCCAATGAGCATCACCACGTTCAGAGTATGAGTATTTTTAGATATTTTCTAGATTCCCTCTCTACACCCCCCACATATTACATTATCTAAGAACTTATAGGTTGGAGCACACTGTATTTATTCATCTTTTTAAGTACTGTGTATAGAGTATAGTGTATGGGGGGGGGGGGGTGCAGAAAGTGAAAGCTGTTTGAGTTTGCTCTAAGATACTTTGAGAGCAGATCTCAAAGCGCAATATGAAACTGCAGGAGAATGGGGAGAAGGAAGCATGGATCCTAGCATCAGTGACCAGAAATCAAAACAGAGACCTCCCACAACAGCCTCAAGCTGAAATGTTGATAAATCAGTGACTAAAATAATAAAGACTTAGTGATGTCTCTGTACCGGTACTCAAACACCACATGCAGTCAGTGCTGGAAAGCTCGAGTCCAGCCATTCTGCAGTTCTTGGTGAAACCAAGTGTTGCTGAAGCCACAGCAAAATGCTTGGAGATAAGGATTATTCAGATGCATTTTAGGAGGTGGTGTTAACAGCTCAGTTCTGCGTTTGCAGCAATGTCTAATTACCAAAGAGTGTGGTAGATATTTGGAAAACCAAGGGCTTGGATGAAAGGCTTCAAGGCTGATAATTCAGTACCTAAAGGGAGCCTACAAACAGGAGGAGAGTCAACTCTTTGAAAGGGTTGATAACAGCAAGACAAGGGGAAATGGTTTTAAGTTGAGGGAGGAAAGATTTAGGTTGGATGTCAGGGGGAAGTTCTTTACTGTGAGAGTGGTGAGGTGCTGGAACAGGCTGCCCAAAGAGGTTGTGGCTGCCCCGTACTGGAGGTGTTCAAAGGCAGACTGGATGGGGCCCTGGGCAGCCTGGTCTGGTATTAAATGTGGAGGTTGGTGGCTCTGCATGTGGCAGGGGTGTGGAATTCATGATCCTTGAGGTTCCCTTCAAGCCAGGCCATTCTATGTGATTCTGTGTGCTTTAACAGGTCAGTCCACAGTGGCTACTTCTGCAGTTCTCGGTACTTAAATTAATGAGCTACAAATACTGGAAAGGTGAAGTAGCTGCTAAGTAATATTCATCTTCATTGTGCATTTACAAGGGGAAATAGTCTCTCCTATAACAGGAGAAGCTGTGCAAGTTACTGGAAAAAAGAAATCACAAATACAGAAGAAAATTGCTGAAGTAACTGTTAGAAAGGATTTCCATTTAATTAACTACCACACTTTTAAATACAGAGGCTTGGGCTATAGCGACAGTTTATTGGAAAGTGTAAAATAACAAAATTCTTTTACACTCACGCACCGCGGACACACCTCGCTTCAACTGTAACAGTTGGGACTGAGGCACCCTCAAGCGGCTGATGTCGATATTGCAGCTAAAACACCGTTGATGGAGTTTAAATAATCAGTAAAACAGATACGAGTCTCTGTCAGCAATGTGAGATGTAAAAAAGCACTCTTGTCCCTTCGGTTTGCATGAACTCTTAAAACCCGAACGGAGAGGTATTGATTGGGATATGATGAACGGTAAGGGTGCAAACGAGACAAAGACTTAGGGGAGGAAGAGGGAAGGGAATGGAGTCTCACCTAGAAGAAAAAAAAGAAAACAAAACACAACGAAATTGTAATTAAAAATTAAGACAAATATTGCAGATAGCGGAAATACATATATTTTCTGGAACAAAATTGGCAGGTAATGCTATTTACAGAAATTATTTTTAGAAAGGATTTTGTAGATGTATAGAAGAAACACATACTGACAACTACGCTATTTACTTGCTTTCCGACAGGATTACAGCTCTTTCTCTGGCAAGGTGGGTGGCTCTGAAAAGAGCCTTTGGGTCGAACAACTCAGGTACGGGAAACGGAGACAGCTTACTTGGAGCTGGTGTACTTGGTGACCGCCTTGGTGCCCTCGGAGACCGCGTGCTTGGCCAGCTCGCCGGGCAGCAGCAGCCGCACGGCCGTCTGGATCTCCCGCGACGTGATGGTCGAGCGCTTGTTGTAGTGCGCCAGGCGCGACGCCTCGCCGGCGATGCGCTCGAAGATGTCGTTGACGAACGAGTTCATGATGCCCATGGCCTTGGACGAGATGCCCGTGTCGGGGTGCACCTGCTTCAGCACCTTGTACACGTAGATCGAGTAGCTCTCCTTGCGGCTCTTCTTGCGCTTCTTGTCGCCCTTCTTCTGGGTCTTGGTGACCGCCTTCTTCGAGCCCTTCTTGGGGGCGGGGGCGGACTTGGCAGGCTCGGGCATAGCGGCAAAAAGAAGTCACACAGCAACAAACACCAACACGAGAACGAAAAGCCGAATGGGAAGGAAATGGTCGTAGCCCATTTATTTATAGCTCCTCTATGCAAATGAGAGGTATCCTTTTCGCACTCTTTCATTGGTCAGTCCTCGAGAACACCCCTTTCCTCCTCTATAACTGTTTTTCATTGGTTCCAATTCGATTCGCCTTCTCATTGGCTGCCCACAACGGACCCAGACGTCAGCCTATCAGCGCAGAGGCGAGGAGCCTAAGCAAGAGCGTAGCCGAGTTCCGTCGGTCTCGCTGTGTTCCTCGCTCGGTTGTGGTCCGAGCCTTCAGCCGCTGCGATGTCTGGCCGCGGGAAACAGGGCGGGAAGGCACGCGCCAAGGCCAAATCGCGCTCATCGCGGGCCGGGCTGCAGTTCCCCGTGGGCCGCGTGCACCGGTTGCTGCGCAAGGGCAACTACGCGGAGCGGGTGGGCGCCGGCGCCCCGGTGTACCTGGCGGCCGTGCTGGAGTACCTGACGGCCGAGATCCTGGAGCTGGCGGGCAACGCGGCCCGCGACAACAAGAAGACGCGCATCATCCCCCGCCACTTGCAGCTGGCCATCCGCAACGACGAGGAGCTCAACAAGCTGCTGGGCAAGGTCACCATCGCGCAGGGTGGAGTGCTGCCCAACATCCAGGCCGTGCTGCTGCCCAAGAAGACCGACAGCCACAAGGCTAAGGCCAAGTGAGTACCGCAGAGGCAGCACGGTCTGGAGAGAACAACCCAAAGGCTCTTTTCAGAGCCACCCACAGCATCACAGGAGAGCTCAGAAATCCACAATACAGTTGTGCAAGTGCATGAATTACTCGAGCCGTACTTTTTTTTCTTTTATGTTTATTATCAATATTATTTGTTGGGTAATAATAGCAACGCTTTCCATGCTTCCGTTAACAAAGTCGTGCCAAAGTGTTCTCCCAAAGGAATTTCTCCCGAGACGCGCCGTTACGCTTTCAGTTCGTATACCGCGCTAAAGGAAACCAATGCGTTCCGGGGGCCACCGTCACCGCCTGTCCCCTCCCCTCCTTCCCCCGCGCCTGTTCCTTTCTTCGACGCGGCCAAAAGCGTCGGGCCCAAGGCGGGGTCTGCGGTGGGTGGGGGAAGGGGCAGCGGGCCGGGCTCCTCGTGGCCAATCCTCGGCCAGGGCGGGCTTTTCCAACAGCAGAAGCTGCTGTTATGTCTCAGCGGGAACAAAAGAGATGGGAGAGCTCGGGGCTGTTATGGCGTCAGTAAGAAAAATCTCACGTCTTCCCCTAACACATAAAAGCATTTAAAGAGACACCTTAAAAAAGACTAACACAATACATTAGACGTGGCTCAGTAGTAGCTTGCGCCTGGGAAATCCATTACTTTTGTTAAAAAATATATTCTTAAAAAAGTGTCACCCGATTTTTATCAAATCATTATAAAACATTTCTTCACGGTAGTCAAACCAATTACTCGGCAAAAGATACAAAGTCTACACTTCCCTAAAGCCGCCGCGTAATACCGTGCTCGTTAGGTTTCAGTAATCGGAAGGGAAAAGACAATTGACCTCTGACGACTTACGAATTGCTGGATCTGTGCTGCAGGTTTCTGACGACCTCGGTGCCTCAGCTCCTTTAGGGAAAGTGTGGGTGGCTCTTAAAAGAGCCGTTGGATATCAAAATAGGTAGAGCAGGAACTCTTCTGGGATAACTTACTTCTTCTTGGCTGCCGTCTTCTTCGCCTTGGCTGCCTTGGGTTTGGTCGCCTTGGGCTTGGCAGCTTTGGGCTTCACCGCCTTTGCCTTGGCCGGGCTCTTGGCAGCCTTCTTGGGGCGACCAGCCTTCGCGGCCTTCTTAGGGCTCTTTGCCGCCTTCTTGGTAGCTGCGGCCGCCGGCTTCTTGGCTTTCTTGGGGCTCTTCTTCACCGCCGCCGCCTTCTTGGGCTTCTTGGCAGCAGCCGCAGGCTTCTTGGCCGCCGGCTTCTTAGGCTTGGCAGCAGCCGCTCGCTTCCTAGGTGCCTTCTCCTTCACCTCCCCGGGCTTCTTATTGAGCCGAAAGGAGCCGGAGGCGCCGGTGCCCTTGGTCTGCACCAGGGTGCCCTTGCTGACGAGGCTCTTGAGCCCCAGCTTGATGCGGCTGTTGTTCTTCTCCACGTCGTAGCCACCGGCGGCCAGCGCCTTCTTGAGCGCGGCGAGGGAGAGCCCCTTGCGCTCCTTGGAGGCGGACACGGCCTTGGTGATCAGCTCGGTGACGCTGGGGCCCGCGGGCTTGCGGGCTTTGGCGCCGCCCGCCGCCTTCTTCGGCTTCTTGGCGGCGGCCTTGGCGCCGGGCGCGGGCGCATCGGGGGCGGCGGCGGGAGCGGTCTCGGACATCGCGGCGGAGTCCTCCGCGGAGCAGGCGAACACAATTGGGCTGGCGCGGGTCAGATGCTCGTATTTTTAGAGAGGAGCCGCGCGGTGATTGGTGCGTTGCTAAGCCCGCCCCGCTTCACGGCCGGGGAGCCCTTCGGTGTGCTCGATTTGTGTTTCTTTGGACTAACAAAAGTGTATTTTCCTCGGAATTTCTGCCACCGAATCGCCCCGTTTCCTCGGTGAGGGAGGAGAAGAGCAGGTACTTGCGTTCGGGAGAGTTTCCAGCCGCAGACACGCGTCCTGAGTTAAAGGAGAGGCGATAAATCCCGTGTGCTGCTGCTGGAGAGACCTCTGAAGAGAGAAACTTTTGTTTTTCATTGCAAATTAAAAATTTTCTTTCTGCAGAAATCTTACAGCAACCACTGTATCTTATTCTTTAGAGGGTTTTCTTGCGATTAAAATCGAAATCTGACGATTTAAAGCTATTTTGACAGTTTAAATTGATTTTGAAGAGGAGGAAGTAACACAAACTCCCCTCTCAGCTCTGAATATGGATTAAGAACCGGTTCCTTTGGCCATGTGTTTTACCTCCTAAAACGCTAAACTCTGTTGAAATAGTGTCTCATACCACCTCCTATTACTCTTATTATAGAGCTGTAAACAATTTGTTACTGCCTGTGAATTCATAAAGATGTAGCTGTTTTGTTTTGTCTTCCTGAAATTTCACTAGAGGGTAGGCAAACTTCCCTTGCTGCCTTGTGCTTTTTTCCTTTGTTTGTTTCTCATGTGAATTTCTGTACCAGTTATTAAGTAAATCGATATTTCTTTTTTCCATGTTGTATTTCTACTTCCAGTAAACAATCTCCCAGTACCCTGTATTACCAAACTGCAGCTTTCTAAACTAAAGCAGCCTTCTAAACTTCTGGTTATATTTAACGATATTACTTTTGTCTCTCTGGTCAGTTAAAATGTGGACGGCCTAATGTAGCTCTTATGTACTTCTGCTCTTACTGCCTAGAGAGTATAATCTTGTTGTATTTTCTGTGATAGTTACAAAATTTTGAACAAAATTACTCTTTAAAAAACAACAACAACAAAAACAAACAAACAAACCTCTTACACAGACAAAAAATTAAATAAAGCCAGTGCAGTATCTCCTTGTCTCTCTGTAAGGAAAAATGAAAGATAAAATGAACAACAGGAAGGCCCATTTGATGAAAAAAGAAAAGCCCGTTTAATTCTTTCTCCTGCATTTTACAGTCACAGTAAGGAGGAACTGTTTTCTTGACAAGAACCACAGCTCTTTGTGATAACCTGGGTTTCAGTTAGGGGAGTGGTAGGCCATAGTTCATCCCTAAGAACCACGAAGAATTCAATCAATACTCATGTCTGGTTGGAGGTAATGAAATCTGTTGACAAGAATGGAGCTCTGGAATAATTTTTTCAGCATCTGTACCTGATTATAAAGTATGTTATCTGTTGACTTCAATGGTTACTTAAGAATAACACAAATACTGCAAAATCAACCTTGCCCTCCCATTTTCTTCGACATAACCAGATCCAACATGGAATTTAAACACTGAATTCATGCAGATACTAACAACCATGATTTCAGATTTTATGAACGTTTTAAGTTAATGCAATCCTCTTTTCTCCTCATTTTTTTTTTTAATTTTTATTTACAGCCTCTATGATATCAACACTAAACATGTATATAATGTGAATACGTTTGTTTTCCTCAAAATCAGGCTTCATTGAGTACAAAAGTCACAACTAAATGATGTGAAGATTAAATTAGGAAAAAATAATCAACAATTTGCATCCTAGAAGAGGCAAATACAAAGCTAATCTAAGGTTGCAGGAAAAGTGCATCTGAGCTCTGTGGTGCTACAGCAGGAAGATGATGGATAGAAGGGTAAATCCAACTGGAGCTTTCAGAATCTTGTTTGTAAAAATTATGCAACATTAGATATGGACACAAGATTGAAATATATCAGAGCAAATGTGGATACTGAAGATATATCTTTATGAGCTGTCGAAAGTGAAGTAAAAAAATAAATGTTTTTCTTAACTTGTGCCCATAAATCAGTGAATAAGATGTTGTAGTGACTTGATTGCATGAGCAGTGCAGAGCAGGACTTTGAGAAGATAACGCTTAGCACCTACTGGGACAATTCACTACATATCCAGGCAGAGGAGAAGTGTAGATCACAAGTGACACGCCCGTGACAGGAAAATTGTTCCTGCTCACTCTTATTTTGAATTCATACACGTTCACTTCAGCCACCTTTATTTGAGAAGATTTAGATACTCCATCCTTCAGTTGTGGCTCCACAGAGGCCTGATTCATGTTTACTGGTAGCTGAAATGGAAGTGTTTACAATGGTCACCATCCCAGTTGGGGGATCCCTCCGCTTTTCTCCCGGCATTTGTTACCCTCTTATGTTCTCAACAGAAGCAGCCAATAATATATACAGCAGCGTCTGATCTGCAACAGTTGTGGTTTATCACTCTGAAACTGAAGTGACTTCAGAAATTTCAAGACACGGGGATAAGCTCTGCCCCTTCTTTTCTAATAGCTCTTCAGTGAAGGTAGAAAACAACTTTAGCGTGCAGAATTGATACTGGGAACATGTCTTCTCCATATGAAAGAAAAACATGCAGGACCAACATTTTGGAAAGCTAAGGTGCATTTGACAGTTAGAAAAAGAGTTTTGTCCACAGTCAGAACAGGTAGGGAAGAAGGAACAGAAATATGCAGTCAGGCAAGGCAGAAAGGTGGTGAAGGATTATAAAGAAGGCAAGAATGACAGTTTCAGCTCTAGGTGAGCAAGTCTGAAAGGTAAATAATCTTATTTTTGCCATCATAGGTGTTTCAGTCATCATTCATCACAGAAAGACTTCAACAAGAAAGCACTCTATTGACTCTGGCGTGCATTTTGGTTTTCCCAGTGAGGAGACCAGAGGGAGGTAGACTTCCTCACTCATTAAAAGAGGAGGAGAATGACATCAGAATCTCCAGAGATACTCTTGGAGAGAGTAATATCTGCTACATCTGAATGACTTCAGTTTTTCCCACCTTCTGGGCAGTGCAGCAGATCTCAGTACATCACAAACCTGCACAAGATTGCTATCTGAACACTACAAGTCTCTTCCCTCCAGGTGCCCATCTCTGTCCAACTTTTGCATTTTTGTGTTCAGGCCTCCTGGCATAAGGAAGGAGAATTGAGCCACGGGATGGTGCAGCACCTGAGAGCTATCAGACATTCCCATCTGTGTCTCAGGACCTGCCAGCACTTGCTCCTCAGAAAATGAGCTTTGGGTTATATTTAGATATACGTGCAACAAAGCAAGGTAACACGGCAGTTATTCTTCTCAAGCAGTTTTGTTAGGAAGCGTTTTGCATGATAGCTAACCACACAAACACGGCTAATGGCTCTACCACCAGTGTAGAATGCTCTGATCAGCTCTTTTTACAGGCAGCTGGAGGAACAGCAGTGGGTGCGCCTGAGCAGTTTGGCCCCTCTCTTTCCTCCAACAACAATTTCCAGAGAGATTTAGGTAAAGGTCCTTACGTGCTGCTTTCCCATGTACATGTTCCCCGGGTACGAGGTACAAATACTTCCTGCAATGATGATTACACTCTTATTACAATGTTACACCCATGTCTAACTTGCCCTCAGTGACTTCACCCTTATGCAAGTTACAAATGTAATAACTCTTGTGAACAAACCAGCCAGCACAGTTTAACAGCTTTTAACCCTTAGCTAAGCAATTTTAAAGTGGTACCTACAGAACTACAAACTCGTTGAAGTTCTTTGCCTACATAATATCAATGTTGCTGCTGATGTTGTTAAGATTCCTAAATGTAATGAGGCCACCAAGAGCTTTTTAAGTCAGTGTACAGCTAAGCATCTGCAATGGGCAAGAAAGGAGGGTAGGGCAGTGGGTGACTGTCCCCGCAGATTCAGCTTCCTGGAATGTTGCACACTCCTCCTTGTTCTTTTTGGTTTAAGGATGGGGCACTTATTGAGGCCTCCCTTCATCATCATCATGCCGTGTCCTTTTGGAACTGAAAACTTACAAATCTATCCAAATTGATACAGATATGGCAGTAGAGGTTTCTTTTCATGGGGAAGGGAAAACAAGCAGCAAAAAATATGGAATCAAAGGTTTTCTGTGATGCAATGGGGAGAAAAGATGCACTATGCTCCATACTGTAGAGAACTCCCCCACACACTTTTGATTATTTGACATATTTTTACTTTTTTCACAGACAGTCAAGGAAACATCGTATCAGCCAGCTACCAAAGGACAGAATTATCATTGTCTTAAAGTACTTTGGTCTTCTAAAACTAAACTAAGGTATTTGACAAAATGTCTTCTGGACCACCCTGGCATGCTTTGATTGTAGCCACCAGCCAGAGACTGAGAATATCAGGCCTTGAGGCAAGCTGTCTGTGACAGGTAAACAAGATTAACAGAAGCTTGAACAATTGTGGCTTCTCCCAAAAATCCTTCCCACGTGGATTGACAGTGCCTCTCTTCCACCCACATTTAATATCAGTGAATGCCACCAAGAAAATGTGCCACCCACTGTCCCTTCAGAGCAGTCTCTCCAGCAGCACTGAAGCCAGACTGCTCTGAGCAGCAAGCAGCCCACACAGAGCAATGCTGAGCAACCCGCTCTTCCACCCCACAACCCCCTGGCATTTCTGCACACTTTCTGCTCTCCACCCTCTTCTACCTGTGTGCCTGTGCTCCCTGTGGTTAAGAGCTGTAAGAGCTGCATTGGTGCTAGTAGGGTACAACATGACCTAGATGCTCCCTCATGTCCATCCAGAGTTGTGTTTGACAAGTCAAGGGGTGACTTTGAGACCGTACACACATACAGAGCAGGTCCATAGTCCATAAGACATGGCTTAGTGGGCAAGGTGGTGATGGATTGATGGTTGGACTAGATGATCTTTTTCCAATCATAATGATCCTCTGATTTTGAGATCTCTCTGGCTGGAGCCACCCCAGGTGGCTGACGCAACAAAACATGGGGTGTATTTTTTTGTCATTTTTTTGTCATGCAGCCAGTGACAGTGGCACCCAAACACAATGCAGCCTGGGCACTTGCCACCACTGAGGGCCAAAACACTGTCACATGCTGTGGTTTACTGAGAAGTGTGGGGGTCAATCAGGTCCTGACTCCAGATAAGGCTTTGTGTCACCATTCTAAGAGCAGGACTATCATCAGGTAGCACCTGGATGCCAGCAACATAGGCTGGCTTTCTTCCATTAGAAATCAGCTAAATGATTTTGAAGAGGTATTCAGTGCTATGATGTAGCTTATGTTTTACAGCCTGTGCTTCCCAGCTGTGCAAGCCATGTGCTGCTGCCAGAGGGGCATTATCCCTGGTTAGGAGATCACCCAGACTAATAGGAACACCAGTAGGAAGGGCTGGAGCTCCTATATTCCCACAGCTAGCAAATGAGAGTAGACACTGAGTGCTTCTGCTGTCAGACTGTTAGGAACTCAGGAATAGGGCATCATAGGCAGTTAGGGATATGTGCACAGTGCATGTTTGAGGGCCAGTATGTTGTGATTTCCTATATTTTGCCTGCAACATAGTGTATGCACACTAGTCTGAAAAAGTCAAATGTATTAGGCTTAAATCTTTGCTTTCATGACACAGGGCTTTTTTAGTGGGATGTTTTGTTTTTCTTTCTGTTTTTAACACTGAAAAAGCAATGAAATTGTGGCTGATTTATGCACGAAATGAGGAGCAGAATAACAAGCCTCATTTGCGTACTGAGTTTAGAAGTCAGTAACACTTGACATTTGGCCTAAAGAGCAGCAAACAGGTCTAGCATTGAGCAGGTTGGAGTGGGAATCAGCCATCTCCAGCTGTATGGAGGCAGTAAGCAAAGAAAAGCCAGCTGGGTTTTTGGATTTACCCAAATTACAATAGGAGGCACCTGAAAGGAAGGGAGCATGGTCACAACATCACACAGCTGTTGAGAAGAGGATCTGCTGATCATCAGAGTAATTCCTATGGTAAGCGTTCAGATTTAATGCATGTTCATTTTGATAAGCATCTTCTGGTGGGAGGAGGTAGGGATGGGGGGTGCAGGATGAGAGAGAAAGAAAAAAAAAAGACAAAAATAATTTAAGTAAAATAGTGATACCAAATCCTAAGTGAAGGTAGATGTTTAGTTGCTGTTTGTTCTATTAATTCTTTGGAAGAAAAAGGCTTTGGTATCCTTGAGTGTACGGAAAGGATTGCAAAGGTTCCTGCTGTAAGCTGCATCACTGCATGAGGCCAGAAACATTTATTTGCATTTGACACTAAGGTAAGGAAGAAAAATAATAATAATAATAATAAAAATGGAGGAGGAGAGGGTTCTTGTACTTAAAACCAATTAATTTTGAGTTTATTATCTTTTTTGTTTACAAGATGTGCTTGTTCTTTTAACATGGCGATTCTTGAAAATTATTTTAGCTCTGTGCTTTTGTCTTTTCCTTCCTTCTGGGCTGACGATTATTGCCTGATGCTGAGGGAGACACTTGCTCATGCTCCTTAACTTCAGTATTGTGTACTCGCAAGGATTAGAGGAAGAACACAGGGCTTAAAGGTAGAACGTGATTCTGTAGATGGTGGCCTCAGCCTGAAGTGGGAGAAATGAATGGGCAAGGTGAAGAAAGCAGCCTTGAGATTCTGCTGTCCTTTGTCATGGATTCTAGATAGAGACTGATGTTCACAGCACTGTAACAACTGAGTCATTCACATTAAATTTTCCTCTGATCCAATATCCCATTGTTGACAGAGGCCATGAAAAAAAGTACAGTAATTGATATCACATCAAAATGATCCCTTAGCTCCTGGTGGTTTTTTGGATAGGTACTCCCCAAGCCAAAGACCCTCAAGTGGATTTTTCTCCCACCTTCATTGACCACTTTGGGTCTTAGCATCTTTCATTTCTCATGCTTCAGGATGTGATTTAGCATGACAAGTAACAAAAGGCTCAAGAACGGCAATGGTGAGTGAGGGTGGGAGATGGGCAAATGGGAGACTGGTATGTATACATACTGCATGGAGCATATCCCTTTGATCAAGGAGGGTCCCAATTATATGTATTTAAGTGTCCGGTCTGTGTGCTGCAATACCTGGAAAACACTACTTCTATGATGCAGATAAAGTGGGATAAAGTAGCAATGAGCACAGTGAGTGAGCTTTCCTTATGGTTGAAGAAATTGAGGAGAATATGCCGAAAGGGGAGGGAATGACAAGGACAGAGAAAAATCAGGAGCCTTCAGGGCCCAACAGAGAAATTCTTTACATAAAATATGCAAGCTACAAGATGCTGGGGAAAATGATTTCACCATTATATTTTTTAGATCTCATCACTCGCACAGACCTTTCCTCTTGGAGTCACTACAACTGAGCAAGAACTAAATGCCAGCATTGAGTGAAAGAAGGGCTTGCTAGGGTTCATGAATACCTTCCTGAGCCTTTCATTTTGGTGGGCATTCCTCAGTCTCTGGGTACTGATATGTGCATCATGGTTGCAGTCACACTCTCGATGTTGGAACAGTGCTGATCTCACAGCTGCACCGGGGCCTTGAGCTACAAAAAGGAGCCTGGTGAGGGCAATCAGCAGACACTGAGGTAGGCTTTACCTGTTGTGATGGTTGATTTTCAGAGTCATGAAGTTGTGTCAGAGCAACAGAGAAATGTTGTCACTGGCATTGTACACTGGCAAAAGGAAATCATGGAGGAAAAAAAAGTTCTTATCCAGTCAGAATGATGTCAGATTTTTGTAGCCATGGAGGCACCTCACATATGTGCACAGCTGAAGTAGCCACCTTTGCTGCCCATTTGATATGCATGACTAACTTTCATCCAATTAGTAACAGTGATCTAGAATGACATAAAATCTTTTCAAACATGACCAGAATGCCTGTGACTCAATCTTAAACAACACTTCAGACACAGGAAATAAAACAGAGGGCCTTCTCCAGCTCTATGTTGGTGATGCTCATCATGATCGCGATGCTACAGTCTGAGAATCTGGTTGAGCGAAGAGGAATGTTGTCTTGAACAACATATAAAATATATAAAATATTCAATGTATTATATATTTTATGTTGTTCGACATATGTAACAAAGCTTTTCTAATTTGTATATACTGGTTATTAAAACATAAAAAAAATAGGGGCAACAGAAATATAAAACTAACCGGTTGGACACAAGCCCTAGAAGAAGATTCACACTTCTCTCTGGTCTGAGATAAAAACATGAAACTGGGTTTGATGCTTCAAAGTGCAAGCAATATGTGAGCATAAGTCTATAGAGGTTACCCCAAGTTAATATTCTCAGGCTCGTGTGTGTCAAAGTATTGTAACATTGTCACTTATGCAGGGAAATGGGCCATCCTCCATGCAGAGGATGCCATTCATCATGGCACGAATGACAAAAAGCTACAGCATCAGACTGGAGGGAAATGGCTGTCCCACACTTGTCTCGTACAGCATGCAGGATGTTTTAAATGCAGTATTTCAGAGAAACTGTCACCTGGAAACACAGTGGCTCACTGGGAAGTGACCTTCCAGAGACTGCTCTAAGGATGCACACTGTGTACATTAAAACAGCCACTAAGTTTTTTTTTGTTTTTTTTTTTTTTTGTTTGTTTGTTTGTTTGTTTTTAAACTTTCTGTCTTCATTTGTGAAGCAAGTTCAGGACTGAATAATTTAGGCTGTATGCATGAACAACAAAAACTGTTTCCAGTGAATAGCACTCATGATGAATATGTACCCAAACTAATGGGCAGGTTATTATTTGTATGCAGTTCATTATTATTTTTACAAACAAATGCAAGATTGATGTAGACAACATTTCAAGTCTTTAGTTCTAGGTGCACAAAATTAGATTGCTTTCACCTCCAGTCACACTCCTTGTCTTGATGGGTACCTAGGTGAAAAACAGTGCACGTAATAAAGAGGAATAAGTATTGCCTACACCACAGTCCACAAGAAGCAGCAGAATTATTTCCTAAAACAAAGGGTCATATTACTATGAAATCATTTAAAGGAAATGCCTAATCACCAGATTCTACTACAAATTAAATAATTTGGGCAATATATGACATAGAAAACAGACCCCCTGAAGATTTTGTCAGTGAAATGTGAAATCAGACCGTAGCTGTAATTCCATAGAAAGCAAACACGTCATTTTTTCAAGACTAGACTGCCTAAAAAGTACATTGGGTGGGCCTCTCTGTCATTTCATTTGTGATAATTTGAAAATAAAATACAAAAAAATTCACAAAACTCTCTGAAATTAAAAAAGCTGGATAAGAGTAATAAAGCCATACAATATAAATATTAAGTAGAAAAATAACAAAGAAAGGTAAGTAATCAGAGTATTTCAACGTATCAATTTACTAACGTAAAAAAAAAAAAAAAAAAAAAAAAAAAAAAAAAAAGCACAAGAAAAACCCTCATCGAGACACAGAGCTGGAGAGGAATGAGGGCGGAGCGCCGCATCCCCCTCAAAGCGGAAGATGCTGGGAAAGGGAAGTTAAGGGAGGAGGTGGGACGGAGCGGGCGAACGAGGCTGAGGCCCTGGGGCGGTGTCAGAGAGCGAAGAAGCCGAAGGCCCCGCCCACCGGGGAGGAGGACGCAGTTGGCGCTCCCGCCCCC